AGAATATCTTTTGTAAGTAATGTTGTTCACTAAGATGATGTCTCCAGAAATTTTGTGCAACTTGAATGGCCTAGTGACTTATCCGATAAAGTAATAGAGTGAAGTTACAGCTCTGCTAGAGCTTTTTCTGTATTTTAAATTACACTGTACATTTCCTGAGAACGTGCTGAGAGGGTACTACTCCCTTCTGTACTGGTAACACGTATAACAGCAGTTGTGCTTGTAGTTTGTTTTTTGAAATTTGGTGTGTATTGCACTGCAGATGATGGCTTTGAAAGAGCTTGAAGTCCTCTGGGAATCAGAGTTGTGCAGGAACTTTGTAGAATATGCAAATTGTTTTTATGCAAAAGTGTTGTTACAGGATTATTGGGGGCAGGGGAACTAATACAAATTTTTCTGAGTCACTGTACCTTAATTACATTGCACTGATTTTTTATGTAATACATCCAAAGTTGATCATCATGAATTTCACTGAAGAATCATACAGAACTATTTGTTTAACAAAAATAACTATATATATATTTTAATTTCAAATTCACTATACCTTGGCTGTGGGGAAAAAAGTAGCAGGATGAAGAGGAAAGAATAAAAGGGTTCTGATCAGTGTGAGTAAAGTGGTGGGAAGGGTTGACTTAAGATAGAGGACAGGAGCATATCCTGGACAGAAAAGGGCATTTTCAGCAACTGCTAGTACCAACTCTCACCTGCAGCATCTCTAAACACAGACATTGAGGAGAAGTAGAACTCAGAACAGATATTTCACATTCTTCTGTAACAACAGTGTCACATAGCAGAAGTAAAGCCTGCTTAAATTTTGGAGTACTTGTTAGTAGTTAATGCAAATGTGAACACACTTAGGCTCTATAATAATTTCACTGAGATTGGGAACTGCATTAAAACAATGTAGAAACTGATAGCATATTATTTGCTTGACACAGTAAACTATTTCCTCAATTGTACAGAGTTTTTTTCTGAGGCTGATGCAAAAAGCATGAGGCATATAGTTGGTGGCTGAACTGAATGTTTGTTTCAGGTGGCTCCTGACTGGGTGGGTCAAGCACCCTTGTGAGTCACTGCTAGGCAGAGGCCTATATAAGAGCCAGGCCTAGAGCGCAGCTCCCAGAGCGCAGCCAACAGAGGCAGCAGTTCACGCAGAAGGGCGCCAGAAGGCAAAGGCGGCACCTCTCCATTTTGCACAATGGTGTGTCCTTCCCCGGGGCATGGTCATGACACGCCGCAGAGCACGTTCCCCAGTGGCTGCGGGAGGTGCTGCATCGGCTGTGTCTGAGGCCTCAACCCAGACAGACCCTCAGACAGCAGATGCAGCTCTGCAGGTGTCAGGCTGC